TATGATGCATCTTAGCATTTTCTACCTCTGCCATGACATCCTTTTTTCTTACATATCAAATAACAAGTAATGTACAAATAATGATGGTTCTTCCTGTTGAACCTTGACCTCACCGCTGATGCAACACAACTTTATTTTTGAGAGAGATTTGGGGTTTTGGTCATGTCAGAGGATGTGTGGAATATACAGCATATGGAATTCAGTCATCCAGCTTTTACTCAGGCAAAGCTCCCGCTGGTTCTGGTTGGGCTGACAGCTTTGCCTGTGATTAGAGAAGTTCAAAGGCTTTAAAGGACAGGCCTTCAGAATGCATAGCCCACAGGATTATGTATAGCTTGCAAAGCAAATGCTTAATTTTGGCATGGTGCCTTCCATGGTTGGCTGGACAGCTGAGGGGCTATGAAGCCTGCCCCTTGCGATTTCTTGGCTTGGCCTCTGTGTAGTGGTTTTAGATCCCAGAGCTGTTCATCCTGTGGGGACTGAAAGTGGATAGGGAGAGAGATGACATGCAAACCCATGGAAGAGAATAAAGTCAGTGATATTTCAGCTTAAAACACAGCTTCAGCCTTTCGTTTAACGTTGCATCCCTTTCTGTGGGGAGTCGGTGCAGAAGGTTGATGGTGTGGGAGCTGCTGGGTAGGAAGCTGTATCCCGTTCAGCTGTGGCGCTGGTAAGGGATTTACTTTAGTTCACAGGTAGGATGTAGCTCAGCCCCGGTAAGGCCCGGGGCTCACTCTGCACCATTGATCGAGGGCTGTGATGGAGGCAAACAATCGGAGCATTGGTTGAAACGATGCCACAGAGCCACAAAGTGTAAATCCTGCTTTTTATAAAACAGCCTTTATTTTTAAAGTGGCCAGTCCAGATACCAATATTCTTCAGAAAGTTAACCAGCATCAACTGCTTGCTCTTCAAAGTGCATTATTAATGCCCAACCCCATGAGAAGATCAAACGCATAAATCAGCGGCCCAAAGTTTAAGGTCAGTCCTGGGGTGGGGGGAAAATATCTAAGTCTTTGCCATGTTTACTCACCAGAGTCAGATACAACTGGAGCCGATGCTCGTGCTTTCAAAAGGCTGGCAGTAATTCTGCAATCTGCTTCCCCCTTGGGTATTTTGTGCTTTTATCTTTTGACAGTGATTTTGTTTTGTAGCCCCCTGTCCCACCTTAGAGCATCCCAACACACAGCATCACAGCTTTCTGCACTGAGCCACGCTGGTCACAAAAAAAGCAGGTCACTGATTAGAAGTATAAGGGGAGGAGAGAGAAGAATCGAAAGAAACTTAAGTAACCTCAGCAACAGTAGGGCAGTGACAAGAAAAAGGATAACTATGGGAAACCAGAAAAGAAAATACAAAAGAACACATACAAAAATTAAGAGCAAACTGAGCAACAGGAACAGCAATAAGAAAGCGAGGATAAGCAGGAGAGGGAAGAGAAGAAACAGGAACAAGACAGAGTAAGAGATAAGGGAGAGCATGGATCAAACAAGAAACAAGTGGTCCTGAAATACAATCTGAGCTCTAATTCCTATAACATGAGAAGTTCCCTCTTCAGGCTCAAGGTTAAGAGATAAGTATATAAATAATTTGCCCAGTTGTCTCAGGCGAGGAGGGAAAGAAGAGGAGGAGCTGGGATAGATTTTTCTCTTGAGTAGTGTCTACTTTTAATCTTTTGTACCCAGAAGCAAAGTCACGCTAGCCCTTTGAATTCAGCAAGACAACAGATGGGGCCACAGCCCCAAGCACCATCTAGTTCTGTTTTTTCTCCTTAACTTCAACTTTAAGGATTTCTCCTTCTCCTGCTCTGGGGGATGGAGACATGCTAATGATCAGAGACTCTTTAGAGGTTCCTCTGTGCATGACTGCAGGTGGTTTAGGCTTAGCATCTGCATTCGGCTCTTCCTTTTGTGCAGGGGGTGCAGATGAGGCTGTGGGCTCCATGGGTTTCTTCTCTTCTTCAGGCTTATTCTCTGCTTCATCTTGAGTTTCCTAGAAACAAGAAGTTAAATGCTTTCCAGTGATGCAGAAGTAATTCAGGAAGTGGTTCTGTGTATGCAGTGGAAAGGCACAGCATGGTTACTGTGATTAATAGCATGCAACCTATGTAAATTTGTATTTAGATGCTGAAAATCAGTTTCTAAATGAAAAATGCAATTTCTGAATCAGGATGTTAACATAAAAAAACTCGGAAAAGCTTATGGATAGTGATAGTATCTGCTTCTTATTAATACAGCAGGATGAAACAGGCACATTTTGGGGCACACAACCCTTCCTTAGGTCTTGCCTGCCTTTATGTACTTACACCAGTATAGAAAGAAAAAGCGTTAGGTAAATCTTGACATACTGCCCAGTGCCCCAGTTCCTTGGCCAAGCCTATTTGCTATTAAGTTCACAAATGCACATTAAGTTGAGTGATATTTCTGTTCCAATCACAGTGTTGTAGTCATTTGTGTAAGCAAAGTTCGTTCTTTAAATAAATAAATAAATACACTGCTAGTTCAGCTATAAAGGCAGAAAATAATTCTGCCACCTTTGGGTAAATGTGTAGAACCGAGCAGGTTCTTGCTAACATTTCTCAGAACAGACTATAATGTGGGAATTATTTTTCATCAACTAAAATAATGGTTTTCTCCTAAGTGCACTATATTAGAGATTTAATCAGATTTAGCTGTGTGGGCTAAACTTTAAATTTTGTCTTCAGGATTTGTGACAACCAAATATTTGACTTTGAATTGGGAAGTTCACTGTGTGCTTGAGTCAGTTGGATCAGATTACTGTGTTAGGATATTTCTGCATTTACTGTTGTTTACATAAAATTAGAAGATCGGGTGCCCTTAGGGTCTTTGTAAAGTCTATTCTACCCTTACTTTGAGGACTTTTGTTTGCTTGCTTTTTTCCTTGCTTTTTCTTTGCTTCTGTTTTCTGTGCTCTGCATGGAGTCCGGGTCCAGGAAGATTTGAGCCAAATTTAGAATTAGTGTTTACAGAGATTAGGCACAGTGATTATATGTCAGCTACTGGGAGTTTTTGCCGTTGATTGCGGTAAGGCTACATTTTCATCTACTCTGTTTGCCCAGGCTATCCCAGGATCTTTCCTGTTTCCCTCTTCAGCACCTGGAATTATCTACTCTATTTTCTGTGGCATTACCTGAATGTCTTGTTCTTTCTTCAGCTGCAGCAGCCTAGCAAGGCCTTCTTTTCCTTTACTGCCAAGCATCACTTTAAACAATTTTGGAGTTTCCCGTTCCTTCCCAAACAGACTAGCTAAGCCCTGTGGTTGTTGCACTGGTGGTCCTGGAGGAGGTTTCCCCTTCTCCTTCAGCAGCACCCTGGAGAGAGGAAGGAAAGAGAACACACAGCAGTGCTGTGAAACCAAGCAAAGTCCTTGCAAAGTTAAAATGTCACATTCATGGATGAAAATCTGGCAACTTTTCTAGCAATTTTTTTTTTTTGTCCCAGGTCCAGTGGCAAAAGCAAAGCTGGAAAGGTTAGGGTTTTACCCCAGGCTCTGGTAGAGCTGGAGGCTACAGTTCTAATGTAGAGTTAGAGTCATAGAATCACAGAATTATTTGGGTTGGAAAAGACCTTTAAGATCATCTAATCCAACTGTAAATCTAGCACTGTCAAATCCACCACTAAACCATGTCCCTGAGTATCACATCTAACGTCTTTTAAATAGAAACAGCCCCCACCCCCAGGGCTGGGGACTCAACAACCTCCCTGGACAGCCTGTGCCAATGCTTGACAACCCTTTCAAAGAAGACATTTTTCCTCATATCCAATCTAAGCCTCCCCTGGTGCAACTTGAGGCCATTTCCCCTCGTGCTATCACCTGTTACCTCAGAGAAGAGACCAACACCCACCTCACTACAGCCTCCTGTCAGGCAGTTGTAGAGGGCGATCAGGTCTCTACTCAGCCTCCTCTTCTCCAGGCTAAACAACCCCAGTTCCCTCAGCTGCTCCTCATCAGACTTGTGCTCCAGACCACTCACCAGCTTCATTGACCTTCTTTGGACACACTCCTGAACCTCAATGTCCTTGTAATGAGGGGCACAAAACTGAACACAGTATTCGAGGTGCGGCCTCACCAGTGCCGAGTACAGGGGTACAATCATTTCCCCACTCCTGCTGGCCTGGCCACACTGTTCCTGATACGCCTTGGCCACCTGGGCACACTGCTGGCTCATATTCAGCTGGCTGTCCACCAGCACCCCCAGATCCTTCTCTGCAAGCAGCTTTCCAGCCACTCTTCCCCAAGGCTTTGCATGGAGTTGTTGTGACTCAAGTGCAGGAGCCGGCACTTGGCCTTGTCTGCAAATTTACTGAGGGTACACTCGAGCCCCTTGTCCAGATCATTGATAAAACAGAACTGGCTCCAATACTGAGCCCTGGGGAACACCACCTGTGACCAGCCACCAACTGGATTTAGCTCCATTCACCACAAATCTTTGGGCCTGGCATCCAGCCATTTTTTTACCCTGTGAAGCGTACATCCATCCAAGCCATAAGCAGCCAATTGCTTACCTATATCCTGGAGAATAAACAAGTGCAGGCTCAAATTAAGGTACCCCAAAGCAGATCAGAGTTTTAAAAGGTGAGAAGTAGTGTGGAGGGAGACGGATGCCTTATACCTGAGGTGGAAATCTCTTACCTGACCTTCTGGATGCAAATTCAGAGAGCATTTAGTACTCAATTTGGAGTCCAGCTGATGCTTGTGGAAGTAGTTTACCAAACTAACTCAGCATGGTTCATCTCTCATAGGTCAGTGGTACTTATTTTTGGTCTTCTTCAGTAGAAGAAGATACCCTGAAGATATAAAAATTACTGCCAATCATGTGGCAGACTAGATTTTCACACCCTTCTGTAGCTGTACTGATTTGCAACCATAACGACAAGAAGTGAGAATGAACGACAAGGGTGAAAGATTAGATGACAGTTCCAAGATAGATGGAACCAGTGAAAAGCAGAGGGTTCCCATGCTTTCAATTTTTATTAGGTTACTGTACAGTTTTCAAGGCAACTTTTCTATCCTTGCAAAAGCCCTGACTTAGGGCTTTTTATGAGCAAGGACTGTTCTTGCAGTCTGAAGTACAGTAAATCCCATAAAACTATAATTTTCTCCAGCGTCTTGTACATTGCAGCTTTGGGAATTTCAGAAGTGAAGATTTTACTTTTTTTATTAAGTTTTATTGTAATGAATTTAAAAAGTACACTTCAGCAGCTTGCATGGGTAGTTTTGGAAGAATTAGTGGATGCCTAGACAGGTGAGCAGAATACATGGCCTCCAGCACAGGACAGGTACTACATATCTTTAAAATTAAACAGAATATCCTGTATCTAGGCTGACATCTAGAGAGGGTTTGGGGCCCAAATGGGAGTGCAGATACAAAGGATGGATAATTATTGTCCATCTCTCTGGAGGCTATCATCTGGAGGAAGCAGAATTTAATGGCTTGGGCAGGATATGATTAGGGTGGGCAAGAAAGCAGAAGAAGGTAGTGGTGGGCCAGAGAGGCAGGAATAACAGGAAATGATGGTCATACTACTGTTTAGAAAGAAGCTGGAGAAAAGTCAGGAAGGATAAATGCTGGGGACCATCAGTCACTGGATTTCTTCCACTTTTCTACCTGTTGGTTCCACCTTTCTATCTGTTGATGCTGGTTTTGAAAATTGGGCAATCAGCCCATTCTGTGTCTAAGTTCCTTGTTCCTCAGGAATGTGATGATTCTCAAGATACTGTTGTTTGACAACCAGGGCTGTTGAAACATGCTGTATGCATCCATCTGCTAGCACTTCCCTAAACAAAATGTCACTCCTGTGCTATATTTAGTCTTCTCTGGTGGAATTTCAAGTCTGGGAGCAACCTTCCAACCTTTGATAGGAATGCAAGGGAACAGCTGAGAACAGTAAGAGTGCTGAAGTATGCTAATAATGATGAACTGTTTCATGTATTTGGAACTTTTACAAGGTAGCAAGGTACTCATTTTGTCGTAATTTTATGACAAAATCTGACAGTATTTTGCCCTTTCAAAGCTGGGGAAATGTTGATCCTAGCAAGCTACAGCCCTAGCAAGATGAAAAGCAATTTGGGTTTGAAATCCTATTTTAGAATCATTTTGAACAAAATGCGCACCTCTCTAATCTCTGTACTTCCATCTTGTCAGGCCTTACTTTTAACTGCATTCCCAACTATTGCTTAAGGTTTTGGAAATGCATGAGACTGTGGGTGCATTGAAGCCTATCTCTGTACAATTAATCGTGAGTGCATCTTTGAAAACCTACTCCTTAACTGACATCTGTCCTGCAGTTTCTTTCTTGACTATGTGAGGATCTGTATCTCCTATTTGTTTTGTTACTTTAAATATAAGGGAGAAGACAACTATATTCAGGATTTCATTCTACTTGCCACATTTCCATAACCGTTGGATTCCATGCCAAGACCATGACTTGCCCTAGATACTACCAGGCAAACCTGACCTCTAAATACAAATGTGTTTATATCTGTTACTCTTCCAAGAAAGGAATGCAAATCTGTCTAGAAGCCACAACTGTCCATTCTGCAGCTATATAATGTGATTTAAAAGCTGTTATTAGTACGTACTTTGCTTTCTTCATGAGAAGTTTTTCTGAGTCAGGATAATGCACCAAGATTTCATTGAGTGTTTTCTTGTCCAGAATGAAAAGGTTGGCAAAGCCATGAGCCACCACGTTGGCAGTCCTTCGATTTCCTCCACCTGCAGCTAATAGGCTGGAATGAGAATAAACATCAGTCACATCATTGCCCGCCCTAGTGAGGAATCTCTTTGCTGGTGGTTCTCCATTAAAGTCATCATAAGGCTCACTTACGTACCCAACTGTTCTACCTGATGTTCTGTGAAGTTCCATTGCAGTTGGGATTAGAAATACCTTCTTGCCTCAGAAAGGCAAATTGTCACTACTGGTTAGGCATATGTAGATGCTAAGGACTGTGAAAAGTCTTGCTAGATAGAGACATTTGTCCCCAGGAGACACCCACTGCAAGGTCTGCATTTGTTTTAGTCCTTATGCAAGCTTGTAATTTCCTCAATTTTATTCTTAAAAATTATTTATGTCGGAAGTAAACCAGCACAGGTCCATTATTACGGAGTTATTTACATTGAATGAATGATTCTCCAAGAATTTTAATTTTCCTGAGTGAATAACTTCTGTGGGAGTCTGGTTTTCAGTTTTCTCACATACCACATCTCACGTTTGAATGTTGGGAAGTTGAAAGATAAGGATTAGGAAGGTCTTTCAAGCTGACAGTTACAAATGTGTCTGCCAGAAAAAGAAGGCTATTTTGTTTTGAAAGTAAGGCATTAGACCAGTTTAACAAGCAGCAGTTGGCCACAGGAAGCATATCCACATAAAAATTAGTTGTTGTAGAAATACAAATTAAATTGTTCATCTTGCATTAAGCTGATGAAATGAAGAGACTTCACTTCTCGACTGCGGTGATAAGCAAGAGAAGTTGCATTTTGCTCTTAGTACTAAAATTGCTTTATCACTGTATCCAAGGTGATCTACCCTAAAATTTGTCCCTTAAATATTTCCCAGAGAGTTAATGTTTTTAGAGAATATTTAGTAATCTCTAATTTAAAAATTATTAATGAAGGATAGTCTGGACCCCATAAAACATGAATTAATACCTATCCAAGATACTAATCAAGGATATATAAACATTGGTTTTAATATTAAATATATTTATAGAACATATTTATAAATAATATATTATATTTGATTTATAAAGGATAGTATGAGACCCCTGCAACTGTGTGTACAAGGCACACACACACACATAGTGTTTTTCTGCAACCCAAGATAGCAATCGATATATGAACTCAAGCTGAAAATGCAGTATATTGTCTTCTTTTTAAACAATTCTGTTACGATTCCTCGGATAGAAAAAAACTATTTGCACAGTAAGAAAAGCAGCTAAAGAAAATTGCAAACAGCTTTTGATTTCTGATGAATCACTTCTCAACAAGTCATTGAACAATCATTTTCAGGCTTTCCTAACAGAAAGCTCATTTTATCAAGGCAGACGAGGACTAAAGAGATCAACTTTTTCATTATGGTGATGATGTGAGGTGAATTTTACAAGTAAGGCAGTCCTTGCTCAAACAGAATAAGCTTTGACTAAGGACAGTGTTACAGACTTCATCATCAAATCAGTTTTGGTTAGTGTGCTAGGAGTTACATGATGGACCAAATTTAAAATAATAACTACATTTGCCTTGCAAAGGTTCCTCATAATGTAATATCTATATTAATAGACAAATTTGCATTTTTTACCTTTCATATTTTACTCCTGTTGTTAGTCTGAAATGCTGTATTTTTAGTATGAGATGATAACTTCTGAATTCTTACACTAGCAAATTTAATTTTGAGGTATAAAGTTGTCAGAGTGGTGACTCAGCTTAACTGTTTTTTTTTTAATAGCTGATCTGTGTAGGAAGCTGCTGTTCACTTAAATTAGAAACTGACCCTGGGAACAGCGTGTGTATCAGCTGAATGTGTAGGGCTGTGGCAGCTCAGCTCAGCACCTATGTGCTTATGGAGAGAACTGGTGAGTCAGGACAGGGAAGCAGGTCTGGATCTTGCTTCTGAGCAGGATGTCACACCAAAAGGCAGAGCTCACTGAAAAGCAGCAGCTGCCACTTTGTGGGAAATCCCAGGCCAATGTGGAAAATGTAATCTTTCATAAAGCTTTAGTTTTGATTTTTTTTTAATAAAAGCTAAAGTTACAAAGCAGCTGAAAGGCTAAGGCTAAGACCAAACATTTAGGGGTCTTCCTATCAAAAATTTACATATAATGGAGAAATATTTTAATTTTTCCAGAATTACCATTTTCTGATAGGAAATTGTTCCAGTGAAATAACAGTAAACAGATGAATGAGGACATCTGGCTTAAAGTGTAAATTTCTCTGGGCTAATGAAGTGTTGTGTCATAGCTGAATTTCTCTTTTCCTCAATTGTCTGTGCAGACAGGCTCTCATTAAGGCAGCAATCTGCTTGCCTCTGACTCTGAGATTATTTTGCTTCAGAAGGCAAATCCTATTACTTAATCTGTTTTTGTAATAGTTTTCAAGGATGAAATTGGCAAAGGACTTGTCTGACATTAGTCTTGCAGTGGCCTTCCAGTATAATTCAGGGAAATTTTTTGAAATAAACATTTTTTGTTTTCTTCAGCTCCTTTGCCCTCAGAGACTTTTTAAGCATCATTTACATGCATTTTGAACAGAGTGAAATTAAATAGCAAGTGTCTTATAAATCATGTAGTTAAACCACTTGGAATGAAGCTGACATATTTCGCTAAACAAATCTTGAATCAGAAATCAGAAGGAAATCAGTCTGACATTAGGTGGTAACCGTGCTATGAATACTGAGGGGAAAATTTGGATGTGCTAAATGAAGCAATATTTCAACCATTAAAGAATGTTTTTTTCATTTTCTTCTGCTATACAGTATTCAGAAGACCTTGACAAAACTTATGTGGAGAGTCATTATACAAACTCGTTATTTTCTAACACTTGGCCACAAGGAAGAGGATAAATCTCTACCGATACACTTAGTGCTTCATGTCTTTACTTTTCCTCAGTATTGGAGATGTCTGCAGGTTGCTGTGTGTTTTCTCCTTGAGTTTATCCACTGGCTGTCATTTAAATGCAAATTACGTGTGTCTGAACTGGTGCACTGCCGCAGTAGGTCAGTGATGAATAAACTAAGACTAGAAGTGCAGGCTTATAGCATTGCTGAGGGTTTTACTGGCCATATTGGCAATTATGTAGAGAGTAACACATACTGGGAAATGAATCTTTAAAGGCCGCTGTGTAGTTCTCACGTGGAAACAAGTGCTCACCTGTATTAGATCAAAAGTTTGAAAATACCTTCCTTATTTTAAAACCATTCACTATCATTTCTCAGTTTAAAAAATAAAGTCCTTGCTCAGAGTACAAGACTAGTAAATAATTGAAAACTATGTGCGTGTTGCATATCTGGGCTGCTGTAGCTTTTTTTTTTTATCCTTTTATTATTTAGCCCTTACTGAAAACCAGCTCATTCTCAGCCTTTCCCCATAACTTACAATAGAGCATTTTGGTTTGAGGCTTTGCTCAGGTATTATTTTGCCACACAGAGAAATACTTTTCAGATAACCTTCTCTCAAAGAGCTGATACAATTTCACATTCCTACTCAATGACAAAAGTCTGTATCTATGGGATATATCAGGTGTTTTCCACTTGAGGTCTAAGCAAGTTCTCTATTCACGTCACTGGATAAACAGGAATGTTTACCCTACCACAAAGGGAGACACAAGTAGAAGATAAAAGTAAAACTGGCACAGAGCTGATTACCACTTTTCAAAAGGCAGATTAAAGCTACCAGCAAGAGGATTAACAATAACAGGAAGGCAGCTGGAAGAAATCAAGAATCCAGTTTATCACATGCAGCAGCACATGTATTTTATTACTTTTCCTCAGGCCAACCTCAGCAGGGGATGCAGTGCCTAAAATCTAGCACTTGGTTGGCTAATTGGGGAACATGGCCCATAACAGTTAATGGATTTTGCATAGCAACCACATGGAGAATATAAAAAACATTTGTAACCACCTGAGAAAAATTTTCTTCTCCAGATAAACTCATACCCCAAAATCTGGTCTGTCACCCTTTTTCTTGTTTTGCATGCTCTTAAACAAATGCGTTTTCAAATGTGGATGCCTGATTTTTGGCAACTTAATCCCTACTTCAGCTCCTAAATGAAACAGGTTTATTTGTTCTTTTAGATTTTTTATCTCCTTTGTTGGAAATTAATTATCATTTTTACCATCTGTTGTGTAAGGGCACCTAGTCTCACTATACAGGCAATAAAATGCATTTGGTCCTGCTGTATTGCAGACCTCAGAACAGGAAGAATTGATAAATTTTTTAAATGCTGAAAGAGAAATCTGTCTGTATATCCCTGTGTACATTGCCCAAAACACTGGTCTCAGATCTTGACAGATTAGTCTCTGATGTTTCGCCTAGATTTCCCTTCACCTACCTGCATCTCCTTGCTCAGTGTGGTATTGGTTGATCCTACCAACTTTCCAGCCTCCCCGTGTCATGCTTACCACACAGAAGTTAAACAACCATTGACTGTTTGACCAGTTCTGAAGAAAGTGTTAAAAATAGCGATGGACCTACCTGATCTCCCCAAATACAGCTCCTGCTCTTAGCGTAACCAGGACTTTTGTACCATCAGGGCCTCCGAGGACTTGCACTTCACCCTGTTTAATGATGTACATCTCTCTGCCAATCTCCCCCTGGGCACACAAACACATAAAGATCCCATGTTTCAGCAGGGCAGTGGTTTTTTGTTAGAATCATCTGACAAACTGTTCTTCAAACATCTTTCCACTTTCTCATAAACAGGTTTACAGGTATCATGGAGAAATAAGTGTTTGCACTACTTTTCCTAGCACAAGGAATGACTTTGTCAGATCTAATTGTGATGTGGAACAATATTTGAACAGGGGTAAGACCATCTAGGCCAGCTTGGAAAAATAAGACTAGATAATAATCAGGATTGTAGCAGTCATTTCCATCAGCTATTCTGGTGAAAACTAAAATATTTCAGCAGCATATTTAATAACAGAGAAGTGCAAAAAAAGCCTATGCGTCATGGTCTAAAAAGCTTCAGTTTTTACACTATTATTTCTAATCATCACTTACCTAATTTAAAAGGAAAATAAGAATACATAATCATTCAAAACTTTGTCTACTTTTATGTAATCATTGTATGGCTTAAGAGATTATTAGTTTATTTTTTATCCTTCACATGATCTACTTAGGATTCAAAGCATGACATCATTATATACAATATAAAGCAGGCAAAATGGAGTAATATAACGGACTTCACAAACATGGTTATAGCAGTCCTCGCAACATCTCAATAAGACAGGCAAATATTTTTCTACTTATGCAGCTGGAGTAACTGAGGCAAAGCATCAATTTCATTTTGAAAGTGAAAAGGCAACAGCAACAAAGCCAGAACTGAAAACGTGAGGCTTGCACTTCTTATCCCTTCGCTTGTGCCTCCAAGCCTGCGTGTCGGAGCCTCCCTGGTAAAGTATGCTGGGGCCAACATACATCCAAGGAGGAGGCAGTATCAACAGATTTTTTTTTTCCCTACTATCTTTTACAGCATTAATTGGGTTACTATGGTTGTTGGCCACATAGTAGATCTTCACAAGTGAGCAGCCTTTTAGCTCTGAATCAAGCTGGAATAAAATGATGCTTCCATTTCTTGTAATCCATCCTTTTTGAGAACAGTTTGCATCTGACTGCAGGATCAAGACCCTGAATCTGTTACTGTCATTTATGATCTCTGCTGTAGCAGAGTCCCAGCCGCAGTCTAAGATCCTTCCATGCTGTGCATTGTACAAGCAAACACACCAAACTACTCTTCCACCCTTCCTAGCCAACAGCAATTGTGGGATTGGCCTTTGAAGGGACGCACCTGATCCTTCAGTGCACTCACAAATGTGTCACTTCCTACCCTGTGGAGTCAGTGGGACTAACTCAGCATTTGGGAAGAGGATCATATGCTTGACTCTCAGAGGGAACAGGACCTTAATGAAGATCCTGGACCAGAACTGCTAAAGACAAGTTAAGGGATTCTGATGGTCCCTTCTGGGTGTGATATGAACTGTGGGTCACTTGCTGGGACAGTTACAGTACTGACACTTCACCCTCCCCCATGCTTTAATTATGTCCAACACTACCTATAAGTACGTCTACATGCCTTTTGAAAAGAGGTTTGGGTTCACTTGGTCAGAAGCTGAGCTGTCTACTTGTGTTACTGTAAGGTCATGTTTGAGCCAAAATGCTAAGAGAAGATAGGTGTGTTTGCTAAGGGACAGTGTGACAGCGTTCAGCTGGAAGTCAAGAGATGGCTCAGAGCTGTGAGTGAAGGCAGAGCAAGATCAGATCCTGATGTGAGGAGCAGTATGGGATGCAGTGTATTTTCTACATTCCTGGATACACAAACAAAGCACATGCAAAGCATCATAGATTGAGATCTGCAGGCTAGGTTTTCATGCATATATGAATAAAAAAACTAATCTTCCTCCATTTTAAATATTAAGATTTCATGATGTATCATTAGATAAGCCATATTTACATTAGGTACTTTCCCATATTACTATAATTTTATGTTTGATAAATGTAAGTAATAAAATCCATATTGTTTTGTTCTAGGTTGAAACTCGAGAGCACGTTTGTTATTATTACACAGTGTACCTTCATTACTTTTATCCTATCTAATTCACTCAGGATTAATTGTATTTAAAGGACACTGTTGACTGGTATCTGAACTCTTTTTCTAAAATACATACTGTAATTATTATTTGAAAGAGACGACAATGCTCACCTTTTTGCAGACAAAGTCACCAGGCAAATACACAATGGATTTCAACCTTAGGAGCATGTCATATATCATCTGGGTATCGCACCCCTGTTAAAATAGTTAGAATTGGTTGCTCTGTTAATTCAGTAACACAAGTGATTATTAGTGCATAACACTGGCCAGCAAAACCCAACAAGACATAAATGATCCAGGGGTTCGTAAGTGGAATGCAAACTCAAAATATTATAAGGATCAGCTTTTAGAGCAGAGAAACGTCTGAAAGAATTGTCATTTCAGATACTTATAGGGTTCCCTTTAGGTTAAACATCTCTTCATTTTTTACTGAGTAAGCTTCCATGCTTCTAAATTCGGTGTGAAAGCTCAGTTAGCACTATGGTCACAGCTTTATAGGTCTCTTATGTGATTTTTTTTTTAACTGACCCAGGGAAAAACAACCCAGATAATGTCAAATGTTCGTATAAATCAATGAATTCTATGTCTTCAGCAAACATGGTGGAAACCATGAAGATACATAGTGCCTATCCAGAGTTATTGTGTGATTTTTTTTTTGCAATTATCCTAACAAACAAATTAGTGTTGAGGTTTCTGTATGTCAAGACTACTTCTAAAAACGCAGTGTCTCCTTGGTTTTGTTGTCAAAAATCCAATCTTACGTACCACATTTAAACTGTATCTCTGAAAGACTGTCATGATAACAAAGAGAAAGCTCCTTTGCACAAAAATTTCCTAAAAAGTAGCATTCACTACATGGAAGTTAAGTTGCCAGCACACACAGCATTAGTGACCTCTCAGGCAGCGCTAGGTGGTATACAGCAAGGAAAGGTGCGCTGTATTAAAAATTACATTCTTCTATGTCCGAGACTTTGAGATCAGTTATACTCTGAACTCACTCACAGTCTGACCATAACATCAGCTTTAACATGTTGATACAACAGGACTGTGTCTTAATCTCATTTGCTGTTTTTTTAATCTGACACAATTTTTTTAATTTACAATCCTATTTCCAAATTTTTTAATTTGACACAAAAAATTCAAAGGCACACACTTGGCTTTGTCCTGACACGTCTCCATTGACTGAAATATTTCTTAGACTTATTTTATATTGCCTATTAACAAACATGTTCTTAAGAGTTGCAAGATGCACAAAACAAGGCTTCTGTCTGAGGAATACCACACATTTCTGTATTCTCCTGTAAAACTACTTGCTTTGAATAAGTCAACTTTATTGACAATGGCAAAGTTCACATCAATTGCAATGGCGAGTTGCATTTTGGTTGGCATCTGCTCCAGTAATTCTGATTCATCTGTAAAAGAAAAAAAACCCACAAACTCTGTTAGTTAGAAAATATAAAGGAAGAATGAAAGAATGTCCATAAAAATGAGCATTGTACATAAAAATAACTTGATGGAGCTATTCTAGCATTTATGAGTTCAAATGAGGAAGCTGCTGATATGCTTCTACTAAGATACTGTCTTTGGAGTTACGTATCCTGTCTAAAGTTATACCAGAACATTACATGAATTAATAGACTTTGTGAAATAGTAAGTGTCATATTGCTTCGGAGTTTTTTTTCTATTCTAAAGCAAATTGAATACCCTCCTCACTTCTCACATGCAATTCAGAAAAGAAGAAATGTGAATTTTACCATGTATCTGTATCTGTACAACCACTCTCAAGTGGAGTTTCTACGTAACTGGAATTGGAAAGCCTTACCCAGCATTCCCTGAGAGTCCCATGTGTATTCATACCAGGTTCGAACACGGTTTTGGACCAGTTTTGGAATAGAATAAGTGTTCATATAGGAGACGGTGTTGTCCATACAGGAACGGTAGTAATTCTGTCCTGCTGTAGCTGCTCCAATTACATCTCTCATCTGCAAACATCAGTTGTTGTTACTACACATTTCAGCAAAAATAGTCTTGATTTGAACATCTTGTCAACAAGGTATAAAAAGTATAAAACGCTTGCAAAATCATTGATCAATTATACATTCAGCTGCATGTTTTGAATAGGAGCTTCATCTGCTTTTTCAGAACCATTATAGATTTAATGTAATTGTGTTGGAAAGTCTATGTTTATGATTTTAAAGGAATCTTTTGTGAGTTTTAGCTTATTCTTCTGTCTCATATTTCTGGACATGGATGAAAAATATAGATAATGCTTTTCTTAAAAGTCAGAAGTGAGGCAAACTGGGCTAAATTTCTCTAATAATATCAGCTGGCACCACTAGAATTAAGATCCTGCCACTGTTTAAATAGTTAAGCGAATCTAGATCAGTCCAAAAAATGCACTTTGGGCTGAAAGTTGTCCTTGAAGATTTTAGTGCAGGAACATAATTTAACATTCCAACACAAATCTAGTTTAGTTTTTAGAAAGCAGAGGAGTTAATGTTCATAGATATTCCTTCTTCAAAAGCATAACTATATAGACATGTTTTTAGTCAAAGGACTTCATACTGCAGTGGCTGAGGATTAGGATGCCAGTGGGCTGAATTCTGCTCCTTCTTACAGAGATGCAATTGATTGCAGTAGGAATAACAATTTTGGGGCAAGTGTGCTAGGCCAGGAATAACTCAGTAATTTTAAGGGTTTGTAAATAGGAATTATAACAAACTGCAATGAAGCTGTTTCTGTGTTAAGATTTAAGGTTTCAGTCTACAAATGACTATACTGGTTACAAAAACTAATCTGCAGAATCTTCTGGGGGATTGGTGCTTTCATTGACAGTTATATCAATTTAGGAAAAAAATATAAATATGCAACTCTGAAGTTTAATCCAACATACTTGAATTCAGTAGTTTTCCGGAAGAAATATTTTATATGAACTACTTTGTTTTATTTTTGGCAATTCTTGTTTGTGGATGAATTTTAAATCCTATAGGCAAGAATCTATTTTGTGATGATTATCTCTTCTTGCACTGCTAAACAGTAAGATACATGCAATTTTTAACTGTTTGATTGAACTTTTTGAATCCTTTATTCAAAATAAAAAACTAAATTTCAGTTTCCACCTTTATTTCTCATAATAATTCTTCCAATAACAGCCATGTACAAATCAAAAGGTCTGGAATCCAATAAGTCTCAAATATGAACCACAGCATTTGTTTTTCTCTAGGCAAGGTATTTTAAAACTTGTGGATCTAAAGCCCAAGTTTAATAGTTAGAAGTCAGGAATATTTCAGTTATTTTCATTTGGAAATATAACTGGTTTGCTGTGCTATGAGGGTTTTTTTTCCTCCTGCCAAATGAGAAGTAAGAGAAATAGAAAGCAGTTAATTTTCAGTTTAACTAATATATTGTAATTTATGGAAGAGAGTAGAATTCTAGTCTGACAAACATCACGGGATTTCCATTAACAGCATTCTGTTGGCAGTAGTATCAAGCATGTAATTTGTACATATTCGTATCATACCTACAATTATAATTTTTATATCAGATTTAGCAGTATAGTGTGAATGTTAAGGAACTGTCTCCTTGGCTGAGAGGAAGAAAAAAGGAATTATACATAGTTTCAAGTATCATCTGTGTCCTGCAGAGTCTTGGCTTTAAATCAGCTTGTGTGCAAAAGGGCTACAAAACTGGGAACTGATTAAACACATGTATTTGTCAGAAGAATAAGTGCAGATGACAGTTAAATAGAGGGACATTCAGATGGAAGCTAAATGTTTTCCCAGAACTACACTTCATTAAATTCAATATATTATCACTACATTGCAGTAATCTGAATGTATCTAGTTATTGATTTCTTGATGTACCTGACCAATCAAGCTGGAGAAGACAAAGACACCCAAGAAAAAATTCAGCAGTTGAAAAACTATCTCAAACAGGGTATGTGGTTCTGGAAGGCCACCGATGGTGATTAAAGTACGAACTGCCCAGTAGTAACACCTCAGATACCTGTAGATAGAGACAGCATTTTTGTTATTGGCTATAGGTACTTATGTGGTTGAAGTTAAGCATACACCTTCCTGAGTTGGGCCTTTCAGTGATGCCTTTCAGTCCAAAAGACCTTTACCATTTTTTATAAAGGGTTATGATTTTACAAATGGTACAGGTATGTAAATCATATTGAGCTGAATGTTCTCACTGACAGCAAAATAAGAATATATGGGAAATGCAGCAGTTATTCAATGCTCTCCAGTAACTCTGTGCAGCATTACAGAAGACTTCTGTAAGAAACTGCCAAGGTGGACATTACAGCATTAGAATGCTACCACTGAAGATGCCGTGATGTTAAAAGCAGTGTAAAAGTGTTAGAGGCTTCCCAGAGTTTATCAGTAGCATAGTAGACTCACACACATCTGAAGGTCTCTTTCATGGCTTCACTTGATGACACCAGTGTGAAGCCTTATGGTAAGCATGACAAATGCAGTGTTGTCCTCGTACCCATTCATTTTCCTACGCCTTTAACCATGTTGGTCTTCCTCCCACTCTGCTTCTGAGCATCCTTCATTGGCTCTGCCTCCTGAGTTATGTCAAACAGAAGTTCCATGTTTCTACAATCTGAATGTTAATCCAGCTTCTCCAATCCACTTCGCTTACTCCTACATTAGCTTCACCTAGTGGCTGGCCTCCACTATCCCTTCTGTCACCTTAACAAAAACTTTTTTACCTTCTTCACTAGTTTCCCTCAAGACTGGGAAGACTGTCCATCAATGGCTATAAAAACTACCTTGTTAACACCCATGAAGACTTTTCTCAGAACTCTCTTGATCTAGAACCCAAATACAGCAGTGAGCAATGGTCAGTCACTAAGACTCTGCTTCCACATGTGGCTTATATTGACTCCTTCCCTGTATCTCTCTGCTGTCTCTTCTGTATACCTGAATTGTGATCTCTTTGGCCAAAGACTTTTTGTTCTGTTTGTACAGCCTTGTGCATGACAGGGCCCATTACATTCAAGCAGAGCATTTCTATTAGTATGATAACACCAGTTTAGGAAAACAACAAAGGACCTAGACAGAATTAATATTTTTTATTGTTTGAGGATAGTCATACTAACCCTCTTTTATATATATATGCATACACACACACACACACACACACACACATATATATGAAGTGCCTTGGCATCTTGGCATTTTTAAACTTCTGTTTTAAATTTTGTTCTAGAACATGGCACCACTAGTAATGCAACATCTCCCATACTGTGCAGCTGGGATTAATTGGTTCAAGTAATTGTCATGAATGTGCTATAATTTCCTTTTTTTCTGAGCTAACAAGTAATTGGTTTAGGAATATTTTTAAAGGCCCCCTATTAATTAGAATTTGACTTCCTAAGTTTCTGTACAATCAGACTTCAGCTTCACTAGTGATTAGCAGTGGAAGTTTGTTTTCCTTAATTGTACAATGAGACTTTCTATTATTTCATCTGTGACTATTGCTTCTGAAGCAATGAAGATTCCTTCTATTTATTGAATTTTATTGACTTGGAAATATTAAAAAAACCCCACAAATAGTACTTTTGGAGATGTTTGTTTTGAAATAGACTGTTTTGCATGCATCTTCTCATGCCTACCCTGAATCTGAGGCTGCCTGATCTGCTTGCAGGCTTCAGATGTACATTTTAATTTGGTGGCCTCCACTTTTAAACTCCTCTCTTATTAAGATATGAGCTCCACTCCTGTAAATAAATGGTCCGTGTAGCAATACAATTGGAGGGTCAGTTTTGTGCAAATATGAGAAAATAAAATCATAAACCCAACCAATTCCAATGAGGGTTTTTATTTAAATCACTGAAAAGTGTTTGCAAGTCTTTCACCTAAAATGTCAGGCTTTACCAAGCAATCGATTTTTGCTTTTCATTACAATGCCACTTTTTGCTTCGTTGCAGATTAATGAAATGCAGTAACAATGATCATTTTTACCATAGTTTTCTAGTTTTAGATGTTTTCATTCAGAGTTCTTAAGTCAAAAAATTAATTGTATATCTGCCATCATATAATTTTCCTTTGTTAGGAGTGCAAAATGAACACCTGGATTACACCACTATAATATTTTTTTCACTTGCATTCAAAAAAAATCATCACCTATGCATGCTTCCAGCAAAGTACGCATAAGTGGCAGCTTTCTTTTAGACTTCTGTTGCATAAATAAATAGTACAGAAAAGCCTCAGATCTGTTTTGGAGGAATTGCAGATTTAAGCATAAAACAATATCTCTAGCTTGTCTGAGGGGAATTATCATATAAGGCATATCAATATCATATTCATGTGCCATAACTGAGAATGCTGTAGTGCTTGAAACATGTATAATTTATGAATATAAAAGTAAAGAAATTAACATTACTTCTGTGTTAGTTACTATAGGAAATGAAAGAAATTAACCAACTCTCTCACCTCCAATGGCCTTGGATGCCAAGCTTGCTAAACCCACTATGATAAACAATATAATCTTCTTTCTGGAAATGTCTACAAAGAATGAAAGCAGCTCCTCAAAGGTATTTGGGGGTCACATTCTTCTTTGCAGTGTTGTATATCCAAAATGTGAGAGATTTTTTTCAGATCTGCCCACCCCCTTCTGCAGATGTAGTTAATACAGTATATTCTTCTGTAATTTTACTTCAAAAGAAACTTTCTACTGGCAAAGTCACAAGATATTCACTATCTCTTAGGCACAGGTTTTATATTTCTTCCATTTACGCATTTTATTGTTTTTATTTTAGTCTGAAATGAAACTTACACAGTTGAAATACAAACCAGCATTTTTCCCTAAGAAGGGGAGAAATAGGATTGTAAATTTTGTTTAAGGAAAGCCAGAAATAAGAGACTCCTATTTCCACAGTATTAGCAGCTCTGCTTCCTACTAGCTAGCGTCTGGAGACCATCATTGCTCACCATACAGCTTACTAGCATGCTATAAAATTACTGTTGAAGCAAACAACATGAGACAAGAAAGGGATTTTCCCTCTGCACAACATCGCGTGTTTATCCTTCAGGCAATCAAACTACTAGATTTTTCCCTAAAATAAGTCCGAAGTATGAAAATATTCAGAAACACTGCAAATAAGATACCTTGTAACTTTAAGCCAACAGAAATATCTGTCCATTTCAGAATACACTAAGCTTCTTTTGTGGTTTTAGTTAATACAGGTGAATCAAATCTTTGTGCACGTGGCTACCAGATTTTAAGGCGGTATTCACACATTCATTTCAGCCCAGGGAAGCATTATTTCAGGGCTATCACATTTGACTCCTCTCAGATTACAACCAGGATGGGTTTAAGCAGAGTAAAGAAGTGGCCTTTATAAACTGGCACTCCAGTGACCTCCTCCTTGGTACCCCTTTTTCTTGAGCGACTTACTCATCAGGTGGCTGTGGGTATGATGGTCTCAGACAGGGTTGTGGAAAAAAACTATGAATATTTTTTATCTAAAAAGTATGATTGCACGTAGCAGGTCTGAAAGCGTTAGGTCTGACATACTTGAGTTGGGCTGTGCATTCGCAGACTGTCTGGAGGCACAAAACCGCCTCTCTATAGCAAGCACTGCGAGTGGACACATCAGACATATCGCAAGTGCAACGCGTATCTGCTATCCACGAGACACCTTTTAAGATATGCCAGTCTTACTGTGTATTGGGCAATGTGTACCAAAGAAGTAGAGTTGTGCTAGGCAAGTACAGTGCCGGTTTTCTGGGACTTCCAGATATCTGCTAAGTCTGAGCGGGAAGGCAGCAAGCTATACAGAAATGCCATCAGGATGCAGATAGATGTCTTGATTAATAAATATGCCAGAGAATTTTGCAGACTACTTGTGGATGACTTGCAAACAGCAGAAGTATATCATAAGCAAATTGGAATGATTTGTTTTGCCTAAATTTAAGGCATGGGAGTTTCAGCTCCCTAGTTTTGGTTTCCCTTATGGGCAGTCATGAGAGACAGATATTTCCATGGGACAGTTCAGAACAACAATATTGCTTTCCTGCCTTGATTCCCTTTCTAGTGGATTTGTCCATTTTCCTCAAGAACTAGGGAAACCAATATTTTACTTAGGTAGTTAAATCAGATTGTAAATAAATGTGTATAGTTCAAATTCTTCACTTAGCTATAATTAAGAGACCTTTTCAACATCCTGCTGCTGTGGTTGCATAAGCTCTACACTATGGTGTTGCACCAGGGATGTTGTGCTTCTGCATTAAGAGAGACTGAGGTCTATCTGCCTAATTATACCAAGCTCTTGAGTGCAGTTTTAATGCTGGGAACATCTTGTGCAGCTAATTTGGGTGCATTGAAGGGGGGTAAAGTTGATGACCTTTTGCACCTCAGGTCAAAGGCTTTGACTGAAGGCTGCCATGCAAAAGACCTCAAATTTTCTTCGACTGGCACTAACACTTCAGCGTCTGAGCACGAGCTGGAAAAGAATACAGCTAGCAGAAATTTGCGAAAAGAGCTACTTTGATAATTTGTGGTTTGAGTGCTGTGTACAGCTGTTAGTTATAAATTGAATTTCACCAGTTAGTATGCCTGCTCAGGAACATATATACAATCAAACTGATAAAGGAAACTGTTGTCTGTGTGTTCTTTTTAGCCTGGAAAGGAAACAAAAATGATCCCAGAAGTGTTGACATTCTTAAGAACTGGTTTTGGCCATAACTAGCAACATTTTATGGACACGGCAGGGATTCTACATCAAACATCCATGCCACTAAATCAGTGCCAGATTATTTGTTTTGGTTCAGTGTAATCTGAGACCACTAGAACTTTGATTTATTTGTCAAACTGCTTACTGACATTTTTTTAGTTAGCTAAGAAGCTACATTTGTCTTATCTTCTTTCTGAATGTGTTCCCATTCTATGTGAGACCAATGGCATATTTTGCTTCACATATTGGCGAATCTGACTGCTATGTGAAAGGAAATTACATCTGCACTGCTGTGCCATAATATATACTGCAGTTCTGGTCACTTTTTCTGTCAGATTTTTCACAGATTATTCTTAGTTCCCGCTTTCCAGAGAAATGAATATACCTAGAAGTATCTTGTCCGATATGTTTAACTCACACTGCATCTCTAATAATAACTAATGTTCACATAATGGCTCTCTGTCAAAAATCCCCAAATATTTGACAATCGGATAATATGAGATGCCTGATTCTCTAAGGCAATGACTATCTCATACAGAAGGCATTTGCTGTTAGCGGGATACCAAGTTATAGTTTATGAAATGCAGCTCAACATGGGATACTTTTTGGGGTTCCATGTACATGAGAGCATATAATCCAGCATGAGTTACAGGCAGAAGAATAAAGTCATATGTTCAGCAACCAATGTCAAGATGAGGTAGATTAATGGTGTAATGAGGGTTACATGGATATATTCCAATATGCATTTTATTGCAGCATCTCAGTTTAATGCAGACCTTGAATTATCAGTTTATTATTATTGTTTATAAATTTTTTTCCCTAAATCCCAAGTGATTTCAGTGTGACATCATTTGAGAACTGTTTTTGTCTCCTCATGGAAAAGGTATCACAAAATATTAAAAAAACCCTGACCATTGTCTCTGGGCACAACTACCTCATCTGTGATCAAGCTAGCAAATAATTTCTACCAATTGTTTCCCTGAGTGAAATGTAGAATATTCTTGTGTGTGAAAAACAAGACAACTTTCTTGCCTGTTCTGAAGAAACATTAAAAACTTGAAGACTGAGAAAGTGCTCTACTTTTGGAGTTTTCGGGTTGCTCGGTCTTCGCCACCTTATTTTTTGATTATGAGGCAACTATTCCCAAGAATGACATTAAAAAAAATAGCTATAGTGGAAATTAATTCTGCATTTTTCTTGTCAGATTTCTGGAATCTTTGATCCTGAAAATAAATACCTGTGTATAACTTCACTTACATAAGCAGTCCCACTGAGCTCCATGAGCCTGCTTGCATGTGTCTGACCGCAGTACTCAAGCTGTGTATTTTAGTGGTGTGTGGAAACTTCAGCCATGTCATTTTTTTTTGAGAGAGAACTGTAATTATAAAAAAATCAATGCTGCTTTACATAAAGTGTGTTCTACTCTCAAAGGCTATTTTCTTACCCTTCAAGATAGTGACTTTGCACCAAACTTGTGAAGTCTAGCAAATTTACAAGCAAGAGGAGCATGTCTCCAAAAGAAACGTGAAAAGTTGTTCAAAGGGTGGTTTATGACAGCAGTAGTATAGTATATGCAGTTTTGCAAAGAAAGTAATTAATGAACAAATAGAGCTTCTGTGGCATTAACTATATTATGGCCTTTGAATGAAATGAACGTTCATACATCTGAACCTACCGGATATGGTTTTTTTATAACTACACACAAAATATATTATGGCTTTACTATTTTCTCTTGCTTCCTCTCCATCATCTTCATGAATGTCCCTTACTTGGCAGCCAGCCTATTGCTGTCATGAGGAGTTTGTGGAAAAGTGTGCCAATATCCAGTCCTTCCCACTGGAGACACTCTGCCACATGCTTAAGCATGACCTTCGCAAAAGATCAGAGGAAATGGGTGCAATTTTTTCAGACCAATCACCATGGTGTTTAGAGGGACTAAAATGTTGCATCTTAATGACACAGTGCTGTGTGGCAGAAAAAAAATTTGTGCCTCTGATTCTTTTGAGGGATTGTTCTGCAACCCTTCTAACAGTTCCCATGTGCATACGCAATCAGTAAGTTTAATTTATGACCCTTGTTGCTTTCTAAATGTTTAATTAAGTTAGTGCTTAGGACTGACTCATAAACCTATAAAAGCTGAAAGTGGTAAACTGATTATTCACTGCACCTGCCCTCCAAATATGTGTTAGTAATGAAAGTTGCTAATCAGCAGTCATGGTGCTAAAAGTTTGCTATCCAAGCACTTGTAAAGTAAGGGCATATCCTACAAGCAAAGGCATGGGAAAGGGGGGGATGCAGGGAGGAGCAAAATCAACAAAATTCCCTTGCAAGAGAAAAGGACTTACATGTTTCCTTTGCCATCGTACACCCATCTGGTGCTGCCAAGTCCTTCATAGTCTGAAGCCCAATAATAGAGGCATGCATTAATGTGCAAGATAAACAGCAAGTACCCAGTTGTTCGAATGACCCTATAAAAGTCAACAGATTCCTGTAAAACAACTTACATTTTTGCTTCCTTTTAATATGGAACCCATTGCTTTTTTGGATCAACAACATTTATATGAAGCGTCTGCTAAGTAGTTTCCCACCTGTACTGACTCTGTGAAAAAAATAGCTGACAGTTACCTGTCTGTCACGTTTGTCCAAGGTCAAATAAATACCTTTCCTAGAATATTTGACACAGGGTAATTTTTAAATTATGGTTCCTGGAGGACTTTATAATCCACTTCTTTAACTGGCTATGAATATTTACAGAAATTTGAAGTTATATTAATGAGGCTAGAGGGTTAATGTTTTTGCCAAACTCTGTTCAAGGCAGGCTCTAAACTTGTGAACTAAAGCCAAGAAATGTCTGAGGTCAGAAATGAACTGCTTTACAAGAGCTGTGCTAGGAAGCCTGCAGTAGATGCACTAAATAGTGTGATTTAGTGGCTACATCAGGAGTTATATCATTTCTAATCCCCATTCCTCTGCTTATGGCCGGTTCTTTGAAGAACATCAATGATGAACTACTTAAGCACCAAGCAGCTTTCTGTTTAATACAATAATGATCTCATTGTATATCCTCTGTTCAGTGCATGGGGATCAAAAGAAAGATCTGGATTTAGTTGGATTCAAATATTTGTACAGGCAAGGAATAAGTAATCAGGAAAAGTACAGGACTTGCCTAAACCCTGGGAGGCTAATACATACCGAGTTTATCTGCTACAGCTAGGATTCAATTCAGTTTGCAACGCATAGTAATTGAGTACGTGGTTTTATGAAAATTTAAGTTCTAAGTTAGGTCTATAAACTAAATTAATAAGAGATAATACCTCTGTGGTTGCTCCTGTATTATGCACTCCTTTGCTGATTCTTCAGGTGCCATTACATGTCCTCCTTTGCCTTTCCATGCCATTGAGCAATCTACCTATGTGTACTCTTCTTTAGGATGTTGACAAATGCATGTCACTTCTCTGTTTAAATGTTGGTGTGCTTCCAGGACAGCTTTTTTAGGGTTGCAAGCTATTGAGAACAGCAGATAGCTGATGCAATCCAGTAATATTGCAATATTGACCATGCTGGGTCTTGTGCACAAGCTTGAATCCATGCAAGTGGACTCCTGAGGTCTGAGTAAAGGTTCTGGAAGCCTTTGATACCTATATTATATTTGTCTAGGCCCATGTTGAATCTACCACAATGGATAGATAAGATGTAGTAACTTTTGCTAGCTCTATTCCTACAAACTCAAACTAATGAGTTTGAGAAGAGAACCCACCCAGGCGCATACACTTGATGTGTAGAAGTTTAGTTTTACATTATCCAGATAATTGGTGCCTTATCACTCAAATGGTGACCATAGCAGGATCTCAGATAAAAAAAAAAATATTATATTCAAATAAAATGCAGTAATTTGCTCAAACAGCCTTGTCTTTTTTTATATTTTTAACTCTCATTTGTACTCTTCTTCTGCATAACAAAATCTCTTCTCCATTTGTCCTTTTTATTTCCTTACCCTAATGCCTTCTGCTAAGCCAATTAAAATATCTCTTCCATATAAATGTTTTTACCAATGAGCACCTCAAAATCTGAGAATCAGTGTTTCCTGAAGTACGTTTTAGATCATTGTATCAGGGCATGGCATGACATATTTAGTAGGTGTTTTGCAAATACAAAATAAAATATTTTGGTAGCGCAGTGTGCAGGTATTTTTCTTCTACTACAAACTTTAGCAATGCACTGGTGGGAAACCCATAGATAATGAAGTGTCAATACTGTTAACCCTATATATGCTATTTAAAATTACATTTTAGAAATGAAGAGTTCTCTATTTCACACATTTCTGGTTTCTGGCTTCTTAAAAGTGTGAGGTAGAAATGTAATATTTACATTCTGATGTTTACATTCTGTAAATGATTTAATACTGGAAAAAGTAAATGAGCCTGTGATCAGGAAGCAAAGACACAAGCAGAAACATGCAGATGTGGCACTCAACCAATCCCATGCTACAGAGGTATCTAAAATAACAAGGCAGAACAGCTTTGCAGAGTAACTGTGTCTGTCTTTGCAGCTACTTCATAAGTTTTACAGGCCCAGTGAGATCTTGCTGGGTGTGTCTTACTGTTTCTGAGTGAGCACTTTCTCTGTTTTTTGACACACAAATCAATATCAAATCCTTCAAAGTTAGGGTAGTTTGAAGATATAAACATCCCATTCTCAAACTGCCCTTTAAATGACCATTTCCCATTCCATACTTATATATAGTGTGAAACACTGTCCCTTGCAAAACCTCCTACCTAGGTGAAAATAGGTTTGCTAATTTGTTCCCATTTCCTTGAAAGCCTTATACACACAACATGACTGTTACATACAAGCTAATTACTTGGTTCAAAACCATCTATATTAAAATCTCCCAGTACTCACAGCAAATATTGCAGGAGATACAGAGAAGTAATTGAATTAAGGCTCCAAAGCAAAGGAAGTAATATGGAAATTAATTAATTAATTTTAAAAGTTTTCAACATCAGAAAAAGTTTAAAAATATAGGTAAGAGAGATGAAAACTCATTCTTTTTAATGAGATTAGAAAATGGAGAAGATAGGGAGGCAGTGATTCAGAAACTGAAAAGCAATTTCTTCATCTTGTGCAAATTCAGAGCAGGCCTTCTCTTGTACAAAGAAGGATTTAAAAAAAAGAAAAAAAAAATGAACAAACCACAAAAGACTCTTCAATAAGTGAAAGGAAAGGGCAACATAAGAATAAGCTTTGTGGAGGTCAGCATCTCAAAAATACATTAACAGAACTTTCAAACTTCTAAGTTTTGTTTCATTTTTCAGGTACATGAAAATATGAAACAGATGTTTCAAACTCCTTGTCGAATTAACTAGTTTCTAAATATCATAAAATACCTCATGTGTAATGTATAAATACCAAGTCTACCATTTACGTGCAGTAATTTCTGAAATAGAGTAAGATTGTAAACAACAGATTCATATTTCTGCTGCAGCAGCACACAAGAACAATACATGCCCCAAAACCGGGACAGGGAAAAAAAAAATTGTTGGTGTAGGAATTGCACAGGATAAACTATGGCTGATGATACTGAGAGTAGATGACAAGAGTGGTGATACAGTAGATGGGCTCACTGAGTCTTAGCAGCATCGCTGACTGCTGAGGGGCCAATGAAACTTGCCATACCCGTGTCCATGGACTGCTGGAGTTGGTTCCAGTATTATTCTAGTCAATGCAGAAGGTCAGAACATAGTGCAGTGGACAACAGTTATAATCACTGTTTGAGATTTGTGCTGAACTGATTCTCATTCCAAGTTTAGTCAATGCAGTGGAGGATCAAGTTTCTGTATATGCCAGGTTCATGGTGAGAGCATATTTGAAGAAAAATGTTGACACGGGCTCAAGCTCATGACTCTTATTAAGTACAAATAAATAGCTACTGAGGATTTGGCACTGCTATTAGCAACCTAAAGAAACCATTCTTTAGCTCTTTCACTAAAGAAACTTCTGATAATTATGATCAGTTAAATCTTGTCAGAACACTCAGTTTGGTGAACATTTTACCTGACCCAGGCCAGCTGAACTGAGCTAGATTTCATATGTGAGTGAAGATTTACATTTTTTATTGTAATGATTATAATATAAATATTTTTAAAAATCTTAAATATACATTAAGTAAGTTAACAATGTGTCATATTCCTTTCAGTGCTTCACTGACAAGCCATGAAATCAAATGGAATGCATTCTATGCCAAGCTTTGCATTCTACGAGAATTTAATAAGCACGTACCTGTAGATGTATGCTTTGTCCAGGATAGCTTCCAAACGATCATTAAACTCAAAGAATGTATTATGCTGAATGGAAAACAAATGAAAGTAATGCAATCACTATTGCACGTCACACACCTTTTTGTAATAGTACAGACATTAGTTCACATACACCTTTTGAAAATAATGGATTTTTCGGTAGTCTGACTTTCTCCAAACGTGTAACTAAAAGGTGAAGGGCAAAGCAAAGATGAAAATTGACCTAAACATTGTTTTGGGTGTTCTGATTATAGAAATAAACTTGCTGCTTAGGTCAGACTGCTACAGATGAATGACTTCTACATCCTCAAATGTATATAATTGCTTGGGCAACTTTATCAGAGAGAATTACACACATAAAAATCACTTTTTACTCCTTCTGATTTTCCAGTAATTCTCGGTAAGTGATCATATGTATCAATAACCACGTAGTAGATGATACTATGTAGTAATAATTGCTGCTGTATCAAATTCCTCCTGTTAATTACTTGAGGTTTAGTGATAGCCATTAATATTTGCATGTAGCTTTTTTCTTTGTTTTTGTTCAGTACATGTCTGTTTGCCTAATATGAGGTACTGTTTACCTTTTCATTCTTTCATATCATTTTGGTTCTGATTCATGGAATTTTGAAGTATTGTTGAAAAATGAAGAGAAGAGCACCCTCATTTTATTCTCAGAGTTCTTGTTCCCCCTCCAACTTTAAATGAAAGCTAATTCTTCATCAACATATTGCTTGTGTGAAGGGGAATGTATTTAGCTGCAGAGTGGCCTGCTAGGTACCATAAAATGTAGGGAGGGGGCTGTTATCTGATCCCTTCTCAGTCCCTTCATTGCACAGCTCCAGATGTCTTTGGACTTGATAACAAAAATGGATTTATGCTTGTTAAAGATGCTGTGTATAGTTTATGTTGTCCTTAAAATTCCTTCCCTTGCTTTTAAGCATGTGACATTACCAACGGAAAGGGAAAATACATTAACATTAATTAGTGATCTTAAATAATTTTTTTTTTGATCTTTGAAAACTAAACAGGTAATTTAAGATTAATCTAATTTAAATAATGTAAACAAACCAGGCTTAATCATAAAACACCTTTCAAAAGTAGGAAATAATGAAGTCAAAAGAAAAAAAAAGAGAATAAGGGCTTCATTTGGTTAATTATATCTTGTATTTTTTGTTGCTTTGTTTACTGATGTTGTAGCTTATCCTGAAAATATTTTCCAATTTCTAAATTTCATGTTCCTAAATATTATAAACAACTTTCCATTGGGTTTTAAAAACACTTATGTGTGGTAAGACATTCGCCAGTAACACAGAGCTTACCTTTAACATCCTATTTGCTCTAAATGCTGGGTTAAATCCAAAGAAGAAGTATAAAACTTCAAATGGCAATACTGATAGCACATCGAGCTGTTGAAGAGCAGAGAGGTCAATTTAAACTTCCCAATAATCATCATGCATTTACTTGCTGTCAAAAACCTACTTAGACCAAATCACAACTGAGTATAATATTTGAACAGTCAGCATGCTAAGCCTGTAACTTCCAAAGTACTGGCAGGCAAGAATATCTCTTTGAAAACTGCAACAGCTTTGCTCTGCCCTGATTTTAAGTCCCCCATGCCTGAGATTTTAATGTTTCATGGGGATTATTAACAGTACCTCAGATATTTGATTACTAATACATTCTGTTATTTCAACTACTGTTCTGACAGGACTGAAATGGTAAGCATGTGACTGGTGAGTGGAGGTGGGGAGAGCACTCCACAAGAACTTCTTAGTAGTCCTAAGGCTTTTAAAACCAGGCTGCCTAAAGCAGTCTGGGGGAACACAATGAATTAGACTCCTTGCTTGCAACTTGCAGAAGCCATATGTTACAAATAACAGATAGATGATAGGGTGATAAGTTTGGATGTTTTTTTTTTTTTAATAGATATTGTCTTTTATTATATTTGGATGCTTCTCCCTCCCATATCACTAAGACTTTCAACATCTCCCTGAAGTACATCAACTGTGTGATTACTCTTCTCATCTGCCTACTTTATGCTTTCCAAGAATTCCGTGGAGAGAAGGAAAGCTGTGGCAAACTTGGCTTTGCTTTTCTAAAGACCCTGTGATGCCTTTCTCTGTTGCAGATATCATTTGGGAACAAAAGAGGGACATGGAACTGTAGGTTTCATCTCACTATAATCAGAAAATGCCTTTTCCCTGAGAGACATAACCTGTGTTGGCAGCTACTAGCCTGCAGCACTGACTTTTTATTCCATGTAAATAAGATGCAAGTAATACCTGAACTGTGTGAAAAAAGCAAACCAAAATGAAAAATTCATTGAGGACAAGAAGCCTTTTATGGCCTCTCTCCCTCACTCAGACACACATCTAAACAGAGGCAAAATTTAGTCAGTGAGTGCTTTAATATCAGTAACTGTTAATTAGTACTTAATCATATGACAAATTCCCAGATTATATCTGTATATTGCATGTAGTGAGAACACTCAACTCTCATTAGTTTTTGCAGAAATCAAGAACACTAAACACACTGCAAGTGAGAACTTAAAATAAAAACCTACACATCCACTTAGTTCTGTTGCTGTAACCTACTCACTTGCCTGTACAGTGTATATCCTGCGCTTTTGGACAGCTTAACCTCAAGGATCTAAGTAGTGATACCAGAGTGACTGAGACAAATTGAACTCTGAAATAAGGCAGTGCAAGAGTATTTACAGAAGAGGAAAGGGCAATAACTGAGATTTCAGAGATGGGGGCTCAGTGTCACAGAGCTGTATGTGCATCAGGAATTCAATATACTACCTATCCTCTGCTGGAAAAAAAACAATATTCAGGAACAAAATGAACAGTTTTCCTGAATCAAATGAATCTTTGTTTTTACAAACCTCAACGAGCATCAAAAATCTTAGTTGGAATTTTTGCTTACTTGCATGAGCGATGACCTATTCAGTACCACACAGAACAGTTCAACGAATAGACTTATCACCTAACTTCAAGACTTTTAGTTTTGTTTAATGAATCTCTGGCAAACCGTGCTATTGTCTTTCAGTTTGTGCGGAGATGACCTCGCACAAATGCATCAAACCAGAGAATTTTATCAATTCTAGTTTATTAATTTGTTATTGCTTTGAATTAATATTTATATTTGCATTTATAATTATTCTGTTTTACAATGAAATATCGTTTATGAAGATGGCAGTCTTCAGTTGGTGAGCACCGACATGCCATCAAGCTAATGCTTTCTGGTGATGTTCTTAAATCAACAGTGATTGTCAGTGAATGAAAAAAATCCTGTGAAATCCTACAGTCAGAACTTACATATTGACATCAGTAACACAGGATCTACTTACCCGAAACCTCATAGAGCTGTGGTAGAATTTCTTCATTTCCACTCTGTCTGACTACAGTGATAACGAAAGGAGAAAAAGGCAAAGTCAAGAACAGAGTGTAAAGAATGAGCCTCTGCTACTCAGCAGTAATAATAATTTTCTTCTGATAACAAGGAGGATGACAGTTATATTAATGATGGTCTAAAAGTATGAATGGAGAAATAGCTATAGGAGAAAGCAATACTTTTATTGCACCAGTTTACATTAGACCAGGTTTTATTCGACCTACTTGAAAAAATCAGGTTTCGGGTTTGTCTGATTTTTCCCAAGTCTGGCTGTTGGTCTAACAAAGTATGTTACATTTTTCCCACAAATCTTCCCTCTCAAGACACCTACACCAGTTGGTGCTTGACCCAAACCCCTTCAATTTCAGGGCCAAAAACTCCATTTGACTTCAATGGTTCCAAGAAAAATACAAAGAACATTTCTGATGGTGCTGTACAAAATTAGCTCTTTGGAAGTGCTAGCATTATTAGCACTATAATAATCAACATTGCATTCATTAGTAATGATTAGCTATTTATTTTTAAATAGCTCTCCATGGCAACTGATGCTAATACCTTAATAAGAAAGGGTAATCACAAGTATCTAAAGAAATGTATCTATTATTATACTTTCTGTTTTTATATCAGGGACAATTTAAAAAAAGCTTTAAATTCTTAAAGGCATTTCCATGCCAACTTTTCACTATTATCCCTATAAGCATTAAACTAAATGCAGGACATCAGGGAGTAGATGATCTCTTCATGCAGTAAAATCTATGAATTGTACAAACAGCTTCAGGGGAAATAGAAGGTAAGCTTCCTACTTCAGAGTTTTAACCTTGTTCATAAAATTTGAGTTTTGTAGGATTTAGGCAAGATTGCCAATAACTGAATGTCTTGGCATGGAAAAATACATTACACTGCACTGCATTTAATATCTATCCAAACTATATTTGCACAGTTTTATCTGGGATTCCTCTGTAAAGGTATCAGTAATGTCTTGTATGCACAACATGTAAAATTTTATGTAAAGCACTGAACTAAAGCTAGTTCCAAATTACATTTGAGGATATATATTTGAATTTTCTGTCTGTTGGGCACAGTAGTGTCACACTGAAGTTATCTAAACTCATTTTTTTCCACATTAGGTTTTCTTCTCTCAGAAGTTAAAGGATCAAAAGTAGGGAATATTTTAAAGAAAAGTTGATGTTCTAGATGCCCTTTTGATATGTTAAGGGCAAGCTTTCCCCTTTATTCAGATACTTGCTTATTAGTTTGCATTTTTCTATAAAAAGATGACACAAAAATAACAGCAAGATGCAAAACTGAATGTACATATTTTTCCAAAATAAAATATCTCAAATAAATTATTTCCAAAGCATCCTGAAATTACAAGGATTTTCTCTGATTTTAGCAAAAAACCCCACAGTCTCACAATCTGTAACAAAAGATGCATAACCTGCCCAGCCCTAGCAGAATACAAACTCTCTTTGACTATGATTCTTGCACAAGGTGAATGTAAAGCTAAAAGTTTCACACATAATCACTCATTCCAGTGAAGGTGCACCAGTTTACTCCTGGTGAGAAAGAGCTTTGTGCCTGTTCTGACTGCTCTCATCTGTTACTTTGAAATCTGTTTTTTTCTTTTTTTTAAGAATGTAGAAAATTGATATGTTTCCTTCTTCCATAATAGGGTAATGGAAGGTCAGTGAAGAAGAACTTTGATAAATATAAAAGTTACATAGATTTGACATAGCAGGAAAAATATGTCAGTTTAGAGGGATTTTCTATAATATACTTTAACTTACAACTACTACCCGTGGATATCCCACTTCCAATACTTACTATTATATCTCCACCTCTTAAAAATTGCACTCGGGGCTGGAAAATCAGTAAGTCACACAGGTAGCAGATATCACAAATGATGTCAATAGTAACCCAATATATTGTATTACTCGGGGTTTGATATGGAAACACAAAGCGAAGGGGAATAAACCAGCAATTCCAGTTATAGGCAATCGTCACAAGCATGAGCCATGCTACGTAACGGCGATCTGAAAGAAAAAAACATTGTACTTACAGCCATGAACTTAGAATCTTTTCTCATTCTTTTAGACATTTATTTACTGCAGTTCTGCCCACAGCAACCTACCATTCTCCCTTTTTCAATGGCACAGGCTGCTAAAGTGATGTAGGTTGAAACTAGGAGTCACACAAAGAATTTGCAAAAGGGAAAGAAGGTGAGTTTATGAGACCATATAGAATTTAATGCATCTGAAGAAACTTGATACATTTTGCATGCTACTTGTATAACTGACAAAAGAATTATTTGGCCCTAATGAATCGGACAAATTCTAGATAAAGAATCAGAATACTTGGGTTTTAATTGTGGTTGGTTTGCATACCAGCTTTGGGCATACCATCTTTACAACTCTTGTCACTTTTCATGTCTTTTCCCTGTTTGGAATAAATGTTCTTTAGCGTAGGATCTATGCATCCCTCTGAGCTGCAATGTGGAATGTGGATCTCATGGTGGCTCACAGGTACCATCTAATACTAGGTCACTTCAATGCGCCTTTACTCCATTCTATTGCATAGCTTTTAATTTACCTGTGTATGAGTCTATGCTGTCTGGTAGCTGCAGATACTCCATGTATTTTTTCAGTGGAGGTTTTTTGAATTTACAGCACAGCATGTCGCAGTAATGATCCTCCTCTGGCTTTGCTTCTGCGTCCTCTTTCTTTTCTTCTTTTTTTTCTTCTTTTGGTGGGGGTGGAGGCTTCTTCTTTGATGGTGCTAGACACATAGAATGCCACAAATGGAAACATTTGAATAATGGCTCAATGCCTACACCCTGTTTTAACATGTAAAAGAGCCTCATCATGTTAAAAACTTTTCTAAAAACTCTTGGCAGTGACTAAAGCTGCCGTTCATTATAAAACTGAATGCATTAGAAAACAGATTGGAGAATAAAATCACCACTGATACAGTCATGTACATCTATCAAGACCAAGACACTTCATGTGAAATATTACTGTACTTCCTTGGACAGTGCCCACAACTAATGTCATCAAAGATTGTTGAGAAATAAGGTAATACAAAATTCAGCAATCATTAATGCAGCAGGGCATTTATCTTTACATGACTGTTGCAAATAATGCATGCAATTAGGATGGAGATAAGAAAAGATGTCTGTGCTGTGGGTTGATCTCTGTCCCTCTCCTGAGAACTGTTATGCAAGATGCAGCAGGTGAAACTAATGGGAAGCCTATGGTTTTGTATGTTACTAGGCTTACAAGAGTCTTGTGGCACTCCTTTGAGCCCAATTCTTCCACCTTTGGGCCAGATAATTTTGTCCACATGTTTGTCCCATTAATTCTGGTGGCTTTACCTCTGAGTAGAATACACAGTCCCAGCACTAAACTGGCAAACTGGATCTATAATAATTTAGGAAATAAATTATTCTAAGTTTTACAAAGAGAACAAAAGAGGTAAATGAACAAAGAAATAATTAAAAAAAAGTAATTCCTTTATCATCTGGTATAGTTTATAATACTTAAGGCACTAATTTTTTCCAGCTTATTAAAAAACAGGTAAGCAATAAATAGCTTCTAAAAAATGTGACTATAAAATCACCACACTCAATTCTTTGTGAAAAGGAAAAAAAAAGTCAAACATTCCTCTAAAGAGGAAAACTATCATATTTGGTTTATGTTTCATATTTTTTCAAAAGTAAACATTTAATTAATTTTGGATGAGTTTGCTCTATTTGAAGCATGTGCTTACAGTCCTCAGTGTGCTGCCATGGCTAAAATTTTATTTCCTTTTACACAGCAGATCTAATCTCAGAGTGACTAATATCTACTCATAAGATTTTATATGTGTTTCTTTATATGTTTCATATCCATCCCCATGAATAAAACTACCTGGGAACTATTTTAAAATATATAAAACCGCTTGACAGGGATGATTCTAGATATTGCCCATGTTTTCCCCAAATTCATTAGTGATGCAATTCAAAGGGAGTTCATACACAAGGACCTGGTTCACTGTAGACTAATAAGGGTAAATTGACTTCAGTGGGCAGAAACTGATCCATTTCAGTGCGTCAACATGCCATACTTGAAAATTTTATCACAGTTTTTTTTTCATCTTTAAATGCAACAAATGCACAGCTATTTCTTGGAGTCACTTACAAGCTGTAGGGCTGCCTTCAGGGGAGGACAGCACTGGGTCTTTCAGCTTTTCCTTGTAGACTGTTGCCCTTTCCCGCATTTTTCTGACAATCTCTTGAAGTTGGGCATCAGCATACTCATTTGTTTGGAAACCTGAAGGTGCTGGCTTCTGTGTGCTAATTAAAACAAAAGGAACAAAAGCTTAATGTACTGGAAAGCACTGGAAGGAAACTGCTAATTCGGCTTCACAGGGATTATTCACATCACTCAATTCATGGTAAGTGGACACCTAAGTCAACTGCTTTTGCTTCTTGCTTATGTCAACTGATATTGCTGGCTACATGCAGCAGTCTACATGGTATTTCAGGCAGAGGAGGTCCTGCACCCTGTGCTCTGTTTAGCCCTGTACATCAATGACTTCCCACTGCTGCTTTTCACCAAGTTCTACTGTGGCTATATAAGGCTTAGAGCTTATCCTGTGTATTCACTAAGATACAAGGCATGCTCTTACCATCTGTGCATAAAAATGTGCTCATTATTATATGGTAATGGACATAACTGAGTTAAAGACTGTGATGTGCAGGTAGGGGAGGAGAGACTATGCTTACTTTATGCTTCCTAACCTTGGGAAAACTGATTTAATCTCACTTTTGTAATGGATATCAACTAATACAAGGTAAAAAAAAAATTGCATGCTTTACCAAGTGGAAACAAAACAACAGATCGTGCTGAAGCTGCTTCTGTTTCCACTGTGAAGTTGACCACTACATGTTTACTCCGGGTCACAGTAACACTGAGCTGATATTCCAGCACTCACAGCATTTGTTCAAACCTGAGGGCCACTCATTTTCAACACCTGCTCTCTCACTTTCTATACCAAAACTAATGCTTTTAATAGGATCTGTGCAGACTGCACACTCAATTAGAAAATCTAGCTGAAGGTGTTTCTTGGTCAACTCTATTGAAATTTCATCCTCAATTTCTTACTAGTCTCTGATTATGCAAACTGGGGCTGTTTTGGAGTACCACCCAGCTGGCAGCTGGGCCATGCATTTGAACTTCCTCTATGTGGAGACAAGGATATGGGATTTCTTCTGTATCCTAGACTCAACACTTCTCAGCTGGTGTCACACACTGGTGTCAGAGCTGGCTGGAAATGGCTGCAACTGGCACAGGGCAGCTCGATGCCTCCTCCCACACAGGTCACAACCACCACCCCTGTACCAAAACCCTGCCAGCTATGCTCAATACAGCAGAGAATTGTTCTTTCTTCCTTGTCAGTTTTTCAGCTCTGTCCCAAATACCATGGGGATGTGGATGTTGCAGCAGACCAAGAGTGAGGCATGCCTGAAATTTCCAAATTCTTGAGAAGACCTTTCCAATGATGAGTAGAGGGAAAGTGGGACAAAAGCATCCTGGGTAGAGAAGAAATTAATAACACTTCCAAAGTGATCTTTAAATAAACACCATGTCTCCTCAAGACATAAACCTACTTTGAAGTTCCTAACAGAAGGAGCTGTAACTAAAAAAGGAGAGTGTCAGAGTGGGATGCGTGTAGCTTTTTGAGAAGCACAGTTTTCTGGAGACACAACACATATCATGGTGCCCAAGGAAGTATGACTAACAATGTGAAAATCCTTCAGCAATAAAATCATTGGATAAAATGGAGGTAAGATGTTAAAAGCAGCAGAAGAAGAAGTCTAGAAGTATGTGGTTATCATTCCTCTAATTTAAGTCTTCTGTACTGTCTATTTCTTAAAACTCCGCAGACAGGAGATTAATCAAACAATTCTGATATACTCTGTAATCTCATCACAGTTCCTTTTGTGTCATATACTCCCTTTTCTCAGGCCATCTGCAGTGTAATGAAATCCTTTCTTGTTTTGAGATAACATGTCACAATTAGTTTTTCAGCTTCTATGCAAAGAATTTCAAATAATTCTTACTCTTTGCTGTTGCTCTATCTGCTCAGGGCATTAACTATCTTGTAGTAAAATACACTTATCACAAGTGTCATGTCAAAGGCCCCTGCTATCTGTTTTCTAGGGATAAGCTATAAGATATGTGGGATTTTCTTCTTTTTTCATAGCCTTTCCAATAAAAGTTAACGTCTTCTCTATTGTAAATTTGGTGCTTTATCATTGCAGTGTAGCCCAAAGGAACCATGTTTTTATTTGGTACTGATAAGAAACTGTGTGGATTTGTTTAAAGTTATTTGCCCCACAGTTGATGAGGAATTGATTTTCCTTGCCCTGCTTCTCATTTGCTTTGCATTATCTCTTCCTCTATTATTTTCTAGTAACAAAATTCTTATGTTAAATTTTCTCTAGTTAATACAGATGGAGGAGACTGCATGATGAATACTGCTAATTTGAAGATGTGTATTGTACCTGTGCTTTGTGTGGAGGTGCACTTTGAATTGCCTTGGCTAATGAAGCCCGTTCAAACTTCACTCCATCTCTTGCATTAGGTGGGGCTTTGCCATGAATGCATGACACCGGTGCCATGCATATAACTTTCACTGCATGTGGCACTCTTGGTGGAAATTAGGGTCTGGCTCAGCACCTCCTGTCTGGCCTGAGATCATTTTCCTGGCAGAGTTGAGGTGCTTTCCTCCTTTTCTCCTCTCTTTTTTGTTTGGTGATGTTTCTTTTGCTATGTGTATGCTCTTCCATGTCATAAACTTTTTATTAACTCTATTAATATATGCTCTATAAATTCATATACATAAACACATAGCTGCCAGCAGAACATGACAGCTGGGAGGAGCAAGAGTACATTTTCCAGGTCAGAGACCCTGCTAAGGTAATTCTCTTTGAAGAGACCACATTTAATAATTTTAATTTGCCCATCATACCACACTGCAATGTTTTCTGGTTCTGGTTTGCTACTCCTCTGACTTTCAGATCTTGCACCTGTGAGAAAGTTGAGCTTGACTTATGTTTTTAGCATGCTCTGTTAAGGAGATAATGCCTCATTTTGAATCCATAGTTATGTTCATTCTCACCTCACAGTTATAATTACAGACTGTATTGATTTCATACTTGGCTCTTTTTGGTTTTATTCTCTGTATGAAAGCTCTCAGAGGGTTATCAAACTTGTGGATATTGATCAATTCCTGGTTTGTCTCTGCCTGTCTTATATAGCTGAATAGTTTGTGCTGTACAGGGGCAGGTTTGCACAGCTGGAGGTAAATCTGCTGCCTTACTAACACGCTACTTAGCTGGGCAGAAAGACACCTTTGCCTTTGGTTTCCTGTGCTGTGCTGAGTGCTAAGATTTCTCTCTAAGCTGATGTGTTATTCTTTAAGCAAATTTATCTCTGACCTTTCTGCAATATGTTACAATAGGCCTAGTTCTATATCACTTACTATACCATATAGTCCTTTACAGAGCAGAAATGTTTATTCCCTGCAGAAGTAATAATTTCACATGGCCTAGGAAATTAAAAAGTCAAGACCATAACTCATGTACTATGCACACCGTTTTGTTATTACCTCAAACATATTTTGTTTAACAATAGCAATATATGTAACAATAGAAGTATAATAATAATGTAGTTTTCTTATGTTTTTAATTTGTAGATTTTATCTTTTTAACTTGTAGGTTTTAACTTGTTTGTTTAGTGAATAAAATTACAGTGCCTTAATTCTCCCCATGCCAAGAGAAAAGATTTAGACACCTATAGCATAGTGGAATAAAATGGCCTTGAAAGAACAGACCATGGAGATACTGTGTTGAGTGTGCTAATGTATGTAACATCTGTTAAGCACTGTGGCTTTGAGGTTTTCTGTGTTAAGAGTTCAAACAAAGCAGGGATCAAGAAATGCAATAGCTTATTTCAGAATAAATAGTTTACCTTTTTCTAAGTTGCAATCTAGACTTTAATTCTTCCTTGCTTTTTGGCCATGAACACCAAATACCTGAGTTCAACTCCATCTTTTCACTACCAGGTGACCCCTGAGAAAACATATTTCATAAATGTATGCTGCTTCCTGAAAAAAATCTGTACCACTTTTTACTGATTTCAGTTATAACCCCTTTTTTTGCAGCACTTAAGAAACTTTCTCCTATCTACCTGGAAATAAAATTCTTGGTCTTGTAACAGAACTTTTAATGCTTTTATTGATCACTGATGTTATGATTTCTGGTTGTATTTACACCCTATGTCTTGAAAAAATAACTTGCTCTCTTGAATAAATTATGGAGAATCTCTAATTCCAACAACCCATTTTCAGAAGGATATGACAATGCATAGCTATACAAATGTCCACAGAAAATTATGGTATGGCTGAGAAAGATTTCAGTGAGATAGAAAAACATAGTTCTAGGCATCATGAAAGGTATTGATTCTAAAACATATCCTCAATTTGTGCTGACAGTCCCAGTGTAGTAATGTTATAGAAACCAGAACCCTCTGTCTGTCCTCAGTTCCAAGTCTAAGCTCACACATCCTAAATGACTAGGAAACCTAATGTTTCTCTGTAATAGAAAAAAGAAATAGTCATCTGCTTGGTACAGGAACAGGTGTATTCCAAAAAGCTAACTTTAGCTATTCTGATTATGCTCCCTTTATAGTCAATAGAAGGCTTCTCGGAGGAGAGGTTCAGAATTACTAAGGTAGGTTTCTCCTCTGAATTGCCTGCAAAAGGAGCCTATCCTTCTCCTTTACCTGCACAGGAAACTGATGGAGTTTTAGGAATGAGCTTTAATATTTTCTTTAATGATGTTGGTACAAAATGTAGTAGTGTGCTAATAATGTTTGATAGGACATTGGATTTGGAAGATTTAAAAGTAGGACTGATTCCTATAGAGGAAAAATTGAATTATTTAGACTGAGTAATAGAAATGAGAACAAATCTAATGCTACATAAGGGAGACATGCATTTAGAAACAAATTGTAAGAATGTCTTTTGTAAATGGTGGGATCATCAATTGCAGATGACAAAAGGACAAATATCCACGTGTTTTAGTCAACAACAGTGTCTGTGAGCTGTGCTGTAATCTGGCTATGAAAAATACTGGTGCAAATATAACACTAGAATACATCTGACATATTGTCAGTGCAGGAAGCATTAATATAGGTATATAAGCCATTGGTGAGAGTTATTCTGACCAGCTATACTCAAAATGTGAATTCACATAGGAAACTGTATAAAGTCTCTAAGAATGATGAA